GCTTTTTTTTTTTTTTTTTAAATTTTTTTTTTTTAACACCTTTTCCTACAACCGTGTGCACTGAAAACACGCTCCTAAAAATATTTGGGTAAAGAACGGCTCACCTGTTCGGGAATTAATTTCAAGAGTGATACGGATATCACAGTAATTTAAAACCAGGTTGGGTTTTTTCCCTTTCTCTTTCTTACTGGGACAGCTCTCAGATTAAATCCACCGAAATCGACTGAGTCATTTCAGATTTTCCCCAGCACACATTTTTGGAGCTTAGAAAACAAGTACCAGAAGAAAAATAAAAAATCAGACAACCTCCCAAAGCTGAAATTGCCCTTTCTATTCAAATGCAGTGCTATACCCAAAACTGAAATTGTCACACAGCCTGTTAATCTCCATTACAAAACATGTTCTTTATTTAGTAAAATTACAGCATTTGGTTGAATGATAACAGTATTTACATACTGGTTTATGAGCTCCTGAGATGTTTCTCAAGCAAATAAAATAAGAGAATAGGTTATGGTTTATTGAAATAAGAGAACTGCATTGTTCCTAGGAGAACAACATACTGCTGCTATTATTGCTCCTATGCTACAAACATTTAAAACAATGCTGTACTTTAAAGGATTCAGAGCACATATCATCTACCAAAATAGGACTAAATCAGTGGTGCATGCAGAATAGCCCTCAACGATGACAAAGGCAACCCGAGGAATCCATAGGAAACATCCAAATTTATAAAATTCAGAGAGTCCTCCTGCAAACAACACACGAAATTTTGCACTGTGGAATTTTTTCTCAGTGGAATAGTCTAAATCCAGAAACTGAGAAAATCTAGGAAAAGAATGGTTTTTAAAGAAAAGGACATCACAAACCTATCATTGTCACTGTTAATGATGTCACATCCCTACTTGTGGAGCACTACCCAAATTAAAAGAAAGCACAAAAAGCAACACCCCTCAATTTACTAGTAGAGAAAGGATTAGGATAAATAGATGACATGATAAAAAATTCCAAAGGGGTTCTGGAAAATAGCAAATACCCTCAGTACTTCAACAGCAGGAAAAGAAGAACAAGTACCCACAGAGCTGCAGCTTCCTATTATTAAATATTAAGCATCATGAAAACATTTGCACACAGCATCATCCAATGATGTAAGAGCTGTGGTAATTTTTTTTTTTTTCCAGCAAGACATTCTCTCTTGACCGACTCACCTCTGAGACCAAGAGCTCGGTCCCAAAAAAACCAAGCATTTTTACCAGGTTTTAAACCTTCCTATGTAGCTTTCCTTTTTAATAAGACAGTAGTTCTCTATTAAAGTACAGTTTATTCAATTATGAGTATTTCTAAGGGGACTAACGGAACATTAAGCCTTAGACTGTAGCCTGGGTAGAAGCCCATGGATGTCAAAGCCTGCAAAGGGAAATGAATTGCAACCACAGTCCCAGGCCAGGGCCAGGCCCGGCCAGTGAAGCATTCCTCGTGCTACCCATGGCAAACCACAAACCCTGCCTGCAGAACACACACACACACTCACACTCAACCTGCTGGACACTGGCTGGTCTTCAGCAAAGCTCAACAGTCAGGGGCAGCATTACAAAACCTCCTTTCTGGGAACACTGGGCTTTATACCCATTGCCTGCCTTTTCCATTATGGGGTCCATGCTCTGACAATCAGTTGGTAGCAGACTGCAGGTGATTCCCCGAACCATGCAAGGATACCTGCACGCTCCCACACACTGAAGAAATCAGGCAACACCTCCCCATGGGCAAGGTGCTTTTGATAACTCCACCATTTATGTTTTCAAGTAAAGTGTTCTACGCAGCAACTAATACAGCCTAACCTTCGGAAAATAAAAGCCAAGTTCTGTAAGGACCTGGCGGTGCAAACAGGTTTGCATATCAAGCAATAAAGTGTTTTGAAATGATAGTGTTGTAGTAACTAAAGCTTCACTTCAGGTTTTATTCCACAGCAAACTTTGCCCACTTCTTCATCAACAGTCCTCTCTTTCATTTTGCTGTCTTCCCTCCCTGTGTACGCAGGTTATTACAAACCCTGAAGTATCAAAGCAGCTTCGCAGCAGGTGCGACTACGAAAATAAGGGATACGAAACAAATATCGGTAGTGTTTGCCAAGTCAAGAAATAAGGATTTTTACAGTTAGGTGTGTGCATGTGTACATTTATCTAAGGATCTGTGTACCTGTACCACTCCTCCATACAGCATGAGAGACCAGACCTGCCCGCTTCCAACGCACGGAAGAATCCTGACCCAAACAGGTACATTTCTGAACTCAACACACAGCTGAGCATATGAGCTTATAAACCAGCAGTTCTAAAAATAATTTCACCTACACTAGTCACACATTAAGGTCACATTGTTGCCATAGGATATAAAGGACCATATGGAAAAAAAAAAAAAAAGGAGAGGGGGCAAGAAACCAAATGCTATTTCAATAGCCTTAGAAACAAAACAAACCTGCAAGTCTGTAGGGACCCCTATCACCTCATCCATCAAGTCCTGATTTGAAGGAGGCCAAAACGTTGATGTTGTCATGTTTCCCCGCCTGGTTCTGTATCTCCGGGTTTTAACTATTAGAAAGGCACAATCAGCTGGTGTGTGGTGTGTAGGTCAATTTACTTCCAATACGCTAATTTATGCAACATTAGCACAGAATGCCAGCTCCAATTCTCTTACTGTTTGCACTCTAGGAGTAGACTTGTATTTTCTGCCAACTCCATTACATCATCCGAAAAAACCCAAACACTTCTTTTTTTTTTTTTTTTTCTTTTTTCCCCCCAAACCCCTGCCGCTCTCCCTTTCCTTCCTTCTCCCCGAGCCCTGTGGAGGCCGTGCGCGGTGCGTGGCGGAGGAGCCGCGGCGGTGTCCATTGTGTGCGGGGGATGCCTCCCTCCATCACTGACCTTCGCCTCCCCACTCGCGCTGTTACATAACGCGGTGCCTGCTGCGAGCGGCCACTGCGAGCCCGCACGAGTGGCCGCCGCTTCCCGGCCGCCCTTCCCCGTCCCCAGCGAGTCCCCCGGGGAGCAGGGACATGTGGGTCAGCGGGTTAGCAGTACCAGAGCCCGAACAATTCGGGACCGCCGAGAAAACACCCTCCGCCGCCGGAGCCGCCCGGGCTTCCCAGCACCCCCCTCTCTCTCTCTCTCTCTCTCCTCTTCGCATCCATGGAGAAGCGACAGCCGAGCGTTACATAATTGGTGGGATCCCAAAGTTGCCCCCCTCCCCGGGCCGGTGCGGTCCCTCCCGGCGGCCCCGCGCCCCGGCAGCACCATCTGCCCGCGCCGCCGGAGCCTGGGCCGGGAGCGCCGGCAGAGAGGGGGGGCCGTTGTGTAACACCCGACAACTACGGCCGCTCCGCAAACATCCAGAAAACTCCCCGACAAATTAAGGAAATTTTCTCCAGTGTTTCTGATTAACCTCGTTACATAAGGCGCTTGCATTCCAAATCCACTCTCGCAAGCTCTAAATATACCCCGCGCAGCCAAACGCTCCCTGCACACACGCCCGTGGCCACCCGGCCTCCTCCGGCCGAGCCCGCTCCTCCTCGCCTCGGCATCCGCCGATCGGCGCGCTCCCTGCTCGCAAATCGCCTCTAATTAAATGTTTCGGCGTGTGTCATCTCGATGGCTTTTACTGTACGCGGATTCCCTGAGTGGGAAGCTGCCTGGGAAGGGGGGGTGTGGCCAAAAGGGGAAAAATACTGTAAAACACAAGCCAACACATGATCAGCCATATTCCAACCTACAACCCAAACCCCCTCCGTCCGAGGAGAGCCCGTCTCCCCTCCGCCAGCGCCCGGGGCATCGCTGCCCCGGCCCCGCCGGCGGCCGCCGAGGGGGCTGCCGCTCCCGCCGGGCACGTACTTTTTCTCCGCCCGTCATATCCTTCAACAGCCGTGTGTATTATTACACAGCGTTATTTAATTCATTTCTACCCATCACCGAGGGATTTTACCGAGCGAAGCCTCCCTAGCGCGCTCCCCCCTCTTGTAGGGGAGCAACGCTTCATAAATTATTTACAAGTAATTAAAGCGGCAGCCTCCTCCCTCTCGCACGTCTCGGCAAACTCCGGCGGTGTTTGAAGCCGGGCCCGTGTCGGTGCCCGCGGCGGGAGCAGCCCGGCCCCGCACGGCCCCGCAGCCCTCCCGCCGCCGGGGCGGCTCGGGCAGCACCAAACTTCCACCGCCCGGAGCCCCCCGGAGCTGCCCCGCACGGCTACGACACGCAACCCGAGGCGGCAGAGGGCTTGACAGCTGGCCACGGAAAAGGGGGCTCGGCTGCTGGCAGCGTTTCTATTCGGGGAGGGCCGGCGGGGAGCGGCTGAGAAGCCGCGGGCGCAGAGAGACCCTCTGCGAAGTTGTGCACCTTCAACAACGGCATCGACGAGACCATCCGCTCCGCGGTGAAATAATTTTTAAGATACACTTAAATGAATTAAGGGAAAACAGCGCGCAAGAGAGTGAATAAGTCACCCGCAAACCGCAAATCTCCTGTTTAATCACAGATCCCCCATTCACAACAAGCCACAGCACACCAGTTGAGAAACTGTCAAAAGGAGACAGACGAGGGGGAGAAAAAAGGGGGGGAGGAAGGACACTGCAGCTTTAAAAGTTTGTTCCCTTGAATCCCAATACTCCTGCTGTTGCTTTATATATTTATAAAATTATGTAATTTCAGGGGCACAGTACCCATCCGGATACCACAGGCAATAAACGAGGGAGATAGGAAAGCACCAAACACCGCTCAATATTTTCATTGCATTTGTCCCTCCTCCTGCAGCAATTAAAAGAAGCTATAAAAGTTTGCAAGGTTTTGCAGGGGGGCAGAAGCCCGGCTTGTTTGCGTGCGCGGCTTCAACGAGCACGAGCAATAAACCAGGGGATTAAATTGCTGCATTTCCCCCTTCTCTCTTGCCCCCCTCTTCCTATTCCCACCCACCCCCCGATCCCACTCCCCGGCCCCCTCCCCTTCCCCAAGTCTCCCTACCTCTGCTGCTGCTGCTGCTGCTGGAGTAGCTCTGCCTGCGGACGGGAGCCGGCGCATCGCTTTTCCGGGCAGGCTCCAGGTTCACCGGGGTGTCCCTGGCGCCGGCGGCCGCCTCGGAGACGCTGCTGCCCGGCTCACTGGCTGCTGGATCGGGGGCTGCCGGAGCGGACTCCATGTTTTTCCCAATGTAGATCGCTTGGAGATGGCGAGCTCCTACACTCCCTCTATCTTCTGTTTCCAGCGCAACTCTATGGTAGGGAAGCAGAAGGGAGAGAGTGAGCGTGATCCAGATGGGATGTGAGCTTGCCTGGCTGTGACCACAAGCAGCGCTAGCGAGAGCTGCACACCCCCGCCCCCGCACCCCCGCGCTCCGCCGCCAGCCCCGCGCCCCGCGCCGGCACCGCCGCCCCCCGAGCGGCCCCAGCAAGGGACCCGCGCCCGCGGGAGGGGGCGGCGGCCACAGCGGGGCCCCCGAGCGGCCCCGGGGCACGGGAAGGTGCTGCCGCTGCCCGGGGCGGGCGGGGAGCCAGCCCGACCTCCGCCGGGGCTCGGACTGATGCTTGACGCGGTGGTGGGGCCCGTCCAGCGAGGCCACCGGGCCCACGAGGAGCTCCCCTCTGCAGCCCCAATCCCAGCGGGAAGAGCTTCCAAGCGGGGCTGTCTTCCCACCCCCCTGCCATGACTGTTGCAGCTGAAGCCGCATCAGAAGATGCCAGCTGTACTAAGCGTCTCGAGACCCACATGTTTAGCAGCCGCGCAGCCGGAGAAGGCAACGCTTCAGACAATACCTCTCCCTCAATGAAGTGCGCTTTGACACAGAACAAAAGGTGACTAGCAAGGTGCCAGGAGACCTCCAGATCTGGTCTGACTTCTGCGAGCACCCTTGTGCGGTTCACAGTCTCAGCAATGGTCAACTCCTTGTCTACTGCCTGACGGTAAAATCGAGTAACAGCTGCCACGAACAGCGGATGGGAGAGCACATCCCTGCCGTGGAACAGAGGCCATGTTACATGCAGCCCTGCTGCTCCTGCACAGAAGGTGCTAAAGCTGCCTGCTCTGACTGCTCTGACTAGAACCACGTCCTGAGTAGACCAAATAATGACATTTTTACTGAAAGCAGTTCAAGCTTTTTCCAAATGGTACTGGATCATGTGCAAGCAGCTGATATGCCACCTTCTGCCAACCAGGACTGTTGCTACAGCTTTCAACACTGCTGGTGCTGGGACCTGATGAAACTTGTAGGTAAACCATGGACAATTCCACGTTCTGCAGTTTAATCACCAGCACTGCACTGCTCTGCCACAAATGCAGGCTGCTCAAGCAGCTCTGAGACGTACCACAAGTCCTACCTGCCCCAGGAGCTCGTCCACAAACTGGATTACATCTTGCACTGCTGGCAGTTCTTTTGGTGGAAGGGGAGAGTCTTGGGTCAGTTGATTTGGAGGGTCCTGGAGTTCCAGTTACCCGTATCTGGAAAAAAAAGCACCACGTTAGTTCTGATTATCTGTTGTTTGCCTCCATCTCAGAGGGACAGGCAGAGACTGCAGAAGACAGAGCAACATTAAAAATGATTCTGCATTTATTTGCAGAGAGTGAATAAATGTGAGGGGGTCAGAGCTGGGCTTACAGACCTTGCCCAACTGAGTAAACCAGGGCTTGGATCTTTGTGATTAAGGACTGGGTTAGGGCAGGCCTGGAGGCCCCCGGGGCATGGACACAAAAGGCTACAAGTTTTTCACCAGAGTGAAGGTAAACTGTGTCAGGCCCGATGGAAGCTGTTCCTAGAGTGCAGGCTGGGAAGGGGAGCACTGGAAGGGGATGAGGAAGCAGGAGCACAGTTGGCTCCCTGGGCCTTGTCTGGAGGCTGCAGGAGCATCCCTGAACACAGGCTGGCACACGCAGGGGTCACAGCTCATCATGGTCTCACTGCAGCCACAGCGGGCAGCGAGGGGGTCCTTCTCTGATGCAAGTTCGGTGGATCAGACCTGCAACTTCCTGCCAAGTCTCTCCCCTCACTTTTGGCTAATTGGCAGCCTCCAACCACAAGCAAGAATTATGTGATCTGTGGAAAGCGAACTGCCTGTCAGCCCGAGAGAAAGCTTATCCCTCCCTCCTCAGAGCAGGGTTTAAGCAGGCTGACCAGGCAGTGTGTGTTGGGAATCTTGCCCAGCTAATAAAAAAAGAACTTCATTCCTCAAAGCTGCCAGACCACTGCCTTTCACCAGTGCTGGGAACAATTGGACTACTTGCCACAGTAAGGATTATTCACGTGAGTGTTTTGCAGGACTGGTTTTAGTCTTGCACATACTTCAAATTATCCCAGTGTAGTGTGGGTTTTTTCTCTTCTCCTTTTACCTGTTAAAGGCCACTGGTATTTACTACACCTGTCTCAGCTAGACAATTATCATTTGGTGCATCTTATTCCCCATTTTCTGAAACCAAATAATTTTTCAATTTACTTAGAAGAGGAAGGAGAAGGCTACAACAGGACAACATACAGTAGAGCTTTGGTTTTGAAAAGGAATTGTGAGGGAGGGGAAATCACTGGAGTAAACCCAAGTGCCTGCAACATCTGAATCAATGGAGAAGAAAAATTAATTTTACGTTGTTTAACAACATCTCATAAGTCACTAGCAATTAGAACCAGCTAAAGCACGACAGACTTGTAGCATGTTCGTAGAGGCAACAATCTAAGAGGTTTTGTAGAACCTACTCAAGCAAAAAGACAAAGCAGCTTTGCTCTTGCAAAAAGAGAGGGTGCACCATGAGCAAACCAAATAGGGTGACAGTTCTCTTGAGCTTTATCTAATGGATGAAAACCATCACAACTCTGGTCAAAAACCCCCTCTCCATGAACCTGTTCTGCTAAGACATTTCCTGAGCATAGAAAAGGTCTTCCTCGTTCTTCAGTCTTCTTATTTCCAGCTTCCAACCTGTGCTAAAATGGTTCATTAACTCTGATCACTAAGCTTGTTTCAACAAGTGAGATGGCATTAGCAGCAAAGACAGGTATGCTGAGAAACTGGAGGATAAATGTTTCGTTAGGTTTAAAAGGGCTTTAGAGACTGCTGCAGATGTTACCTCAACAGATCCTACCAGAAGTAACAGTAATGGGACAAAAAGGGACAAGTATCCCCAAACATCTCTTACTGACTCTGTTGATTTCATGTAATACGGTGACTAATAATTTTTTAAAACTTAATTAAAAAAAATTCATACAAATCTCTTGTGATTGTGAAGTAGACAAGATAAAAAGATCAGATGGACACTTTGTCAGAGCAGTGACACAGCCACAGAGAAAGTGGCAGGAGAGCTACAATGCACATAACCAAACACACAGAGAGAGACTGTACAGGTACACAGAGCACACACACACGTGCAAGACAATCATCATTCACACGAGAACACCCCATTTTGTGGGGGGGGTTTGAATCAGTTTTGAGCCTAAGGTAGTCAATAAGGGTCTTCCACATGCATAACTAATAGAGCTGTCGAAATACTTCCCTGCAAAAAGAATGCCAAATACATTCCTAACACAGGAGAGCCTTCGAATATCTCATGTTGGAAGGGACCCATGAGGAGCACTGAGCACAGCTCCCTGCTCCTGGGATGACAGTCTACAACTAAACCATGTGAGTAAGAGCACTGCCCAGACTCCTGTGTAACAGCCCCCATCCTGGGCTCGGGGCTGCCTCCCAGGTCTTCAGGACAAGTCTGATGACATCATGCTTATAGAGCAACCTTCAAAGGAGAATTTAAAACACACGCATCTGTTATTTGGAATGATATTCTGTGGCATATCTTCCAATGGTTTACAAAGCTTTAGTTAATTAAATTTCACAGTAGGACAAGAAACTGCTTCCACTGGAAACACATACAGCCTATAATACCTGAAAGCAACTTTCTCAAAATTATGCACCCCATTAAGCTTCAGCAAAAACAGGCAGTCTGGGAAGCTACATGTATGGAACCTGAATATTTGGCAGTAATTAAATTCAACACTGCTCGAACAGCATTCTCTTGTATCCTAGATAAAAACAAAATTTAAAAAAATAACAGGAGGGAAATAAGACAACTGTGCTGGAGGCACTGTGACTGGATGCAGTTTCAGTGGACCCTTTCCCACAACCTTTATCTCTAAGCAAAGTGGAAAGCTCATCGAACAGTTCATCTGGAATTTACACTCACAGATATAATTTTGTTTGTTTTAAAGACTGAGGAGCAATTGTTAACTAGCAGAGCACAGATTCAGTGGAATCTCCTTCTTCCTGCTGCAAACTCATCGAGTAAACTATGAGCTGCTTTTCATTGTTGGTTAAGCCTCTATTTCCACTTCCCTCTCCTGCCATTTGGACTCATTCCTTACTGGATTTTCTCTTTGTGAAAGAAACTGGAGAAGCACACAACATAGGAGGTAATGAATCCTTTGTGCTTATCTCTACAGCTCTGTGTCCACAATCAGCATCCCCTGATATACAGACCAAGCATCAATAGCAAGGCCACTTCTTTTAAGAATTCAATACTTCTTGTGAATGAATTAAGGCAAAAGGCCCAGAGATATCCACCTCTCTCAGCAAGATGTTTTTGCTGCTGTTTTCTTGCAGATGGTTAAAAAAAATGACTGAATATTTTCCTGTAGCCAGATGAAGACCTTTCTCACATTTCATACACTTGCAGACAACCTCTTCCTCCCACAAAGGTAAGCTAATTGAATTAGAGGAGCAACTCAGCCTGCCCATATTCCCTGGAGAATCCAAGGGAAACAGGGAAGAGAAAAAATCTGATCCAAAGATACATTTTTCATCTCAAGAAAATGGAAGCTTTTTTTAGTGAAGATCAGTAAATGAGACTCCATTTCTGCAATCTTGTATCACTTGAAGTCCAAAGTGGGGGTGGTTGTTTTCTAACTCTTGCTTCAGTATCATCTTTTTCACTCAATAGCTGTTTCCTCCAATACTGCATTTATTATAGAGTTATCCATAATATCAACTAATAACTCGCACTTCTGTGCCAAAAGATGTGTCTCTCTAAAAGTAATAGTAGGTCAAAAGCAGGTTAAAGCAAGGTGAAAAAAACACACCTTATCCTTGATAAAAAAAACATTACTATTGTCTTTATGATCATTGTGCACAGGCCCTCATACATCTCTGTCATCCTCCCAGGGTATTCCACCAGTGACCCCTTCCAACACACCTTACCTGAAAGAACCATCCTGAGTGATTTGGCTCACTGGCCAGATCCTGGAACACCTGAGCATTCCAGTGCATTTGCAACGTTCACTTTCACATGAAATCATTA